GTCGGCCTTTGGACGGGCTTTTTGTCAGTCGTCTGCAAACCCGCACTCTGTAAATGTGACTACTTGAGTAGTATAAATTCATCGAACTGATATTCCTTGTTCCCATAAATTCAAATATACTTTGCAGAAGATGAGTACAAGAATTTTCCTTTGATAGCACATTACGTACTCTTTGAATTTTATACGTGACGTAAGAGTACAATCCGGTTTCCAAAAAATTTTTGATTGTCGAATAATTCTGAACTCGGCCCGTGGTTACACTTGCATTCAAGGCTTTCAAACTACAAGCTAGAAAACTACAAGTAGAAAAAAAATATGCGCTTCTATAAGCTATTAAGAAGATATCATGTAGGATTTCATGAAATTTTGCTGGTGATTTGACTTATATTGCATACTTTACAAACAACACAAGTAAATATAGAGATACCAGGTTTTATGAATGGACATTTCACGGCCCTTGAAGACCGCATAACTAGAAACTTTGGCGAGGTTTGGTCCTGCAGCCCCATTTGATTGGTATCATACGAGTAGCTTCCTAAAGCAATTTTTGTACTTGCGATTACGTTGAATTTACGTATATCGCGTGTTTGCGCCTTCCTTGCTATTTTAATTCGGCAAGGAATGCTTATATGCCAACCTGGGTTACTGAAGTAGGCAAGAACGGCAGGATTTATTGGCACCAAAAAATTTCGCGACTGCTCTTCAGCTGCTTCCTGTCGCTTCATAAGAGGGATAACGAGTGAGAACAATACAACAGATTTGAATTCATGCAGAAAATCGATGCAGAAACAGCAAGGTTAGGGTTTTGGTACCTGCCTACTTCAGCTTCGTACCGGGGACAAAGTGCTTCAAACCTGGGTTACATCAAATATCAGTTCACACACGCCTCCCTGCGCGTGCTTCGAGTCCTGCTTGCGCCCTCTTTATTGTCTTAATCCAGTGAGTATCTGGGTAGGCTTGCTAATGTCACTGTTCGGACGGTGTGGAACTCTGCTGGTTCCGCCATAGTGGCCATGTATTACCAATTGACACGCGGTTCCCTTCATAGCCTTCCAGTTGTGATAGAACTCTTTTTATCATGTTAATCTAGCAAGTAGCTGTGTCGGGGGGCGTGTGTGTACACGTCACCTTCGGTTACGCCAAGCTTTGGTTCACATACGCTTCCTTACGTGTGCTTTGAGGTCTGCTAGCTCTCTCTTCCCTTTCCTAATCCAGCGAGTGGTTAAGGGTGGTATGTTAACTAGAATTGTTTTAAGAAGCTAACCACATGATATCAATCAAATGAGGCTGCAGGACGAAACCTCGCCGAAGCTTTTTTAAAAAACCCAATGATACTCTTTCTTCAAGTCTGCACTTCAAAGGAGAAGTAGTGTGCTGCCGAATGAGTAAAAGAAAGAATATTTTAATGCATGTTTTCTGTAAAATATACTTGAATTTATAAGGGCATCAAAATCAAAGAGGAAAATCCAAACTATGCATGTTGTCATTATTCACAGAGTGCAGTTTATGCATGCGACTGGAAAAAAAGTCAATTATAAAGCCAGCATCCTGTCTTGACTGAAATATCTTCGGAGTATGCTGCAAGAAAATCACTATTAAAACCCTGCCTAGGTAATCTTTTCGAGTCAAAGACACACTTCAGAATTCCGATTCACATTTAATGAGACAGCACATCTGCTCTGCACACCCAGCTCTCTAGTCCTCAACCTCGATAAAATATATTTAAATTTATTAGCAACCTGATGATCAGTGAAAAAAAGCATGGTATTTAAGTACTCATATGTTACTTTGTGTGGTTTTTGCGAGCGGTTGGAAATAATCGCGTTCAGAAGTCAACGTTTTGGCGCGATCGAAATAATTTAGGATTCTACTGCATGATAATCACTACTAAAAGTTTACTTAATTAATCATCCCTAATCGAAAACGCATTTCAGAATTTCGGTTAATATTTGATGAGACTGATTATCTACTGTACACAAAAAAATGTTTACTGCAGTTTTTCAAGCATGGCTACCTCCACAGAGGACGATTTGCACTTTTAAGAGGGATCAACTGCCTCACAAAAGAGAATAAAATTGAGTTCGGAACGCAGCTCTTCGGTTAGCGGCGAATTAGTTGCAAATGTTAACGCATAAACTGAATAAGCGAAAATGCAAAGTTTGAAAGGCTGTAGAGGACGGATTGGCAGACGATCGTTTTCAGCAATTCTTCGTTAGGCTACCGCCCCATACCACCACACTCTTAGTTGCCGCCCTCCCAACCAACCTGTCCCCCATAAGCCTAGTTATTTATCCATCGAACACCCCGCCAACTCCCCCTCCGGCAGTGAGAATTAATCTCCCTAATCACTAGCCTTATGAACCGTTCTGTCGGATTGCCTCGAGCCATAAGCCCTAATTCCCCCGCCTTCCCATCGGAAGAACCTTATTTGTTTGTTCTGGACTGCTTACATAAGTGGTTTTGCTGGCAAAAAAGCCCACAGAACAATCATTTGCCGACTGTTTGGGTGGTTATTGAAGTGGCCAAAAGGCTAACACAAGATTCTATCGAATAGACTACTTCTAGAGGCTGGATAGACGTCTAGAAATGGTTTTAAAATGCGCTTATTCCTCACGTCTGAACACTTTCATGGCAGCGTTGCCGGCAGCATCGTAATGATTCGTAACATAATGAAATAATTTCCTTATGCTAGTTATGAGAGGCGATAAATCCGTCCCTCTTGTGACAAGTAGGATGAAAACCGATGTAGGTTTTTTGCGTTCTTCACTTTATATTTATATACTATGTTTTTCGTACTTCCTATTCGCACATGACAGGAGTAGAAATATGCATGCTTTAGGTCCCCAGGCACAACGATGAACGCACTTTGAACATAGTAAAAATTCCCGATTGCAGACAACAGGATAACGGACCCGTGGCTCCATTAGTACAGTGCGTGACCGATCTCATGAAATGTTGGCCGAAATTCTGAAATACGTTTTCAACTAGGAAGGATTACTTAGGCGGGGTTGTAATATTGATTATTTTGCGGCATAGTCCTATAGTATTTTGGACTTGCTAGAATGTCAGCTTTTGAATGCGCCTCTTTTCGACCTCCTCCGTTTTCGATTAGGAAGGATTACTTGGTCGCGGTTGTAATACTGATTATCTTGCGGCATACTCTTATAACATTTCGGACTCGGCAGGATGTCCAATTTTAAATGTACTTCTTTTCAATCTCCTGTAGAAAGCGTACTCGGTAAAAAAATAACAACTTAAGTAGCATGCATTTTTCCCACTGATTTTCGATGGTCTTGGAAATTCAAATATATTTTATAGAAACCATAGATAAAAATATGCTTTCTTTTGGTCAATCAATAGAGAATCACGTCTTCTTTATATTTTACACTTAAGGAAGCAGTATAATTAGGTTTTAAAAAAGTTTCTAACCATGACACTTTTTAGACCGCGAAATGTCCATTCGCATAGCATCGTACCTGGCCGTCTACCACTGCTTCTCATGAAATGTACAACATAGTCCGCATCCATCGCAAAATTTCATGAACTCTGTATGATATCTCTTTAATGGCATAGCGAAATATGTGATTTTCATTACGGGGAACGCATGCACCTTGTAGAGTGAAATCACTAAGCGCTAATGCAACCAATGATCAGCTCCTACTTATTCGGCAATCAGAAAACTTATTTAAAACCTAATGATACTGCTTCCGTAAATATAAAATATAAAGAAGACGTGATTCTCTATTAATTAACTAAAAAGCGTATTTTGTTTATGGTTTCTATAAAATATATTTGCATTTCCAAGACCATCGAAAATCAGTGGGAAAAATGCATGCTAATTAAGTAGTCATTTTTTACCGAGCACGCTTTCTATAGGAGATTGAAAAGAAGTGCATTTAAAAGCTGACATCCTGTCTAGTCCGAAATGTTATAAGAGTATGCCGCAAAATAATCAGTATTACAACCGCGACCAAGTAATCCTTCCTAATTGGAAACGCATTTCAGAATTTCAGCGAACATTTCATGAGATCAGTCACTCACTGTATACGCGAAAAAAATGAAAACTTGGGTAGCATGCATTTTTCACACTGATTTTCGATGGTCTTATAAATTAAAGCATATTTTATGGAAAACATCCGCAAAATATGCCTTTTTTACTCGTTTGAAAGAAAATCACATTTTCTTCATACTTTATACCTGAAGAGTGTGCATATTTAGGTTTTGAAAACGTTGCCCTATACTCCAGTAATTTAGGGCCAGATCAGCCGTTGCACTAGCGTTTAGCGATTTCAGTCTACAAAGTGCATGCTTTCCGCGTAAGGAAAATCATATATTCCTCTATGCCTTCGAGACGATACTGTATAGAGTTCACAAAATTTTGCAATGGATGCGGACTATTTTGTACATTTCCTGAGGAGCATTGACAACCAGACATGTGCGATGTTGTATGTATGAACATCGAACGGTCTTCGAAATCTTATAATAAGAAACATTTTTAAACCGAAAGATACCACTTCTTCGAGCATAAAATGCAAAGACGATGTGATTTTCTACTAAACAAGTAAAAGAAAACATATTTTGTACATGTTTTCTTTAGAATATACTTTTACTTATAAGACCATCGAAAATCAATATGAAAAATGCATGCTACTTAAGTTGTCATTTTTACCGAGTGTGGTTTCTGTCGGAGGCTGAAGAGAAGTGCACTCAAAAGCTGACACCCTGGCGAGTCTGAAACACTATAGGATTATGGCGCATGATAACCAGTATGACGACCCCACCTAGGTAATCCTTCCTAATCGAAAACAAATTTCAGAATTTCGGCAAAAATTTCCTGAGATGTGACATAGTATAACTTTGTGTTTATATGCTTTTATTTCCCATCTTTGCTATCAATATTGGATAGTTTATTGTACTGTATGGCGAGAGTAGATTATGAAAAACTTAAAAAAGCCTAGACCTCCGAAAGAGCAGGTTTTCATTTGCAAATGTTTACGCACTCACATCAGTTTTGGTGGCATTTCTCTGTCCAGCGGCGACGTCACATCGTTCGGATTGCCCAGCTGATATTTTGCGGCAGATGGTATCACTGGCTGCGTCCTTGTGGTCTGCTGTTTCGAGCCGTTAAGAATTTGCGAAACGATGAAAGCCTCCCGGATGCGTCTCTCGTTTTGCTCATTGTTTATCCTACCCTGTAACTGTGTCATCAGGAGCTTGTTAAGGAAGTTCACAGAGTTTGGATCCGTTTCACCAGCACGAAGCCCATGTCCTGCAAACGCCCCCGTCCGTTGAAGCGTGCTGGCATTGGTGAGCATTGTAGGCGCAAAACTTGCCTGCAGAATGGAACTACCATCTGCAGCAATTGGTAAGGCCAAGTTTGCCACAGTGGTTGGCAGACAGGTTCCAACCATCTGAACGGACTGATTGCCGCGGGCAGTTATAGACGACTGCGGCTTCATGGAGAGGTTGAGGAGGTTCATGAGGAGATTCTCTTCGACATTCCGGTTCACGTTTCCTGTTATAGTGTCTGATCGCTGAATGCGAAGGCCCTCAGACTTGTCTGCGGGCTTGGCCCAGTTAACTTCGATTCGCGATCCATCCAAGATGGATCCTGGATATGAAACAGGTAAATAAGCCTCGTCTTTACCCCTGTGTTGCTTCAAAAATTCGCGGCATTTTCAGAAAAAAAGCAGCTATATTTAGAGAAATAGTACAGTCAGGAAACGCCTAAGCGAGATGTAGTCGAACAGCATAAGCCCTGGTTATGAGCCTGGAACTCTATAAGTAACCACGGTCGCATATTGTTATGACCCGAAAGGATGGTTGAACGGAAAGAGAGCCGGTTCGGAGAACAAGCATTTTATTGACACCCTGCAAACAAGAGGAGTTACTAGTCGCCAGAAAGACGCCATATTTATGTTGGCCCCTGTGCGTTCTGGAACATTCCGGCCAATTGCGTGTCAGCCGCTGAGAGCGTTCCAGAGTGTTCCTGCCCGGAGCGTGCTGGTCATTGATTGGCCACCGCGTGCGCGACAGTCCTCCCGCGGAAACGTATCGAATGTTCGATCAGCCATTGATTGGGCCGCACGCGTGAGCACAGCCACCGCACGTGTACCCGGCGCTGTAGTGCATACCGGTCGGCTGTCTAATTTCACGCGTGTATCACGCCGCCGACTGGGTCCTCTGTTCAACGCGTGGTCGAGTCTTCCTTTCGCAATGGTAGGGGGCGCTCACCGATCGTTGTTACGGAACTCACTCGTTCCGTTGTGCCTTACGGGCTCTCTTTCTCGAGCCCAACCAGCAGCCGCACAGCCGCGCATGATATAGGCGGAATGTTATTACTGACATTCGTCGGTAATAACAGTCTGTCTTCCTTTCGCCTTAGGCCGTGACTCCACGCCGCTTGCGCTCTCCATAACACATCTAATCAGAGGTTCCACTTCTTGAAAGTACGGATCGTGCCGAGTGTCTAACGCATTGCCGGTCTTCTCGGAATCGGTAATGAGATTTTAATCCCGACAGAATAGCTTCTCAGACTACATTATATGCTTCTTGCGCTGCAGATCGAAGGTCGTCAAATTCATGCGGCTGTACTCTTTTACGTATTGGGTAAACATATCATGGTATGTAAATCAGCCGATTCAAAACTCCCCTTTGAGGCTGAAGACCGCGAGAAATGCGAAATCCGCACAACCGGACTTCAGACATCCTGCTGTCAGCATTATCAAAAAACAAATTCCATTTTATGTTTGTAAATTTGAAACGGGACATTTCTGTGAGAAAGTCAGCTCGATACTCGGTAGTGGCATGGTTACTGGTCTTTTTAGCATGTGTGCGTAGGTACAGGAAGTATTAGGGGGTGACAAAATTGGAGATTAGTTCTGGAGAAAACACAGAGTGTTATACAAAACCCATCTACAAGTCATAAGGCAAATAGAACAACTGGGCAGTAAACGAGAAAAATACCTGATCATTCGGTGGCTCGGTATTGGTGCAAGCTATTGAAATTCATCCTATTTTCGAAGAAACTCTATCAGTGGAAAGGATAGTGGGGCGTACCCTAACCCATGTATCGTCTCATCATTTGCAATGAAAATCACAGGGACTAGGCTTTTAGCGTACTCAAATCCGAGAAAATTTGCAAGTGTGTGTTAGATATAGTCATTAGCCTGTTCCGCTTTAATTACGTCAGTTGGGGTTTTGGTATAATGAGATGCATTCCACGGTTATTGGCAAACATTTCCACACTGTGCTCATCTTACCAGGAAGTTTAGAACTATACGGCGTAAATGATAATATTCGGGGACATTGTCACTTACAGACCCTATTAAAACCATGAAACGCCACACGATTATCTAAGATTCTCATGCTGAAAAAGCCCAACATTTTTCATGAGCGTTACGTGGACTTACAGACCTCTTTGAAATACCGTTTAGTGCAGTTTTCAGTGGAGTCCTAAAAGCCATTTCCGCTTGCTCTCAATTGAACTGAACTATGCCAAAATGTTTCACCGATTCTGATGGCCCCAGGAGCCCCAAGACTGTTTAACTTACTCACAGCCACACGCCGTCGAGCAATTACCAGTTTCAGAGTACCTGATGCATCTACAGCCAACAAAGACAGCTAAAAGCAAAACAGCATACTGCACGTACCATCCATTCTGGCGAGTGAATTGGCAGCCAACACGCGATCGCGAAAGTGGATGAAGGCGTAGTCCTTCATCTTCTTCACTCTTTCAACGGCGTTCTTAGAGCCTGCAGCCAAATTGAACTGTTCCCGAAGCGTCTCCTCGGTGGTGTCGAGCATTAGATTGCGCACGTACAGAATTCGCACCTTTCAACCAGTAGAACAACAGTCCAGTGAGTATGCAAGGAAGCCCCATTGAACCAAAGTATTCATTTATTTTGGTATAAGAAATACCTTAAATGGACTGAAAATAACCTCTTCCCGTTAAAGGCTGACCTAACTATTAAAACGAGAATTTGACGGAGACTTTCGCTGACTTTGGTTTCATCTAGACAACCCTAGCTCCGAAAGACAAATAGAGCAAAAACGGGGTGACCAATTACTACAAAGTGGCTGGCCCCACCCACGCAGCGGGTCACGAGTTTACTTTTTCAGCCCACACAGAAGCAAGACAAGTCATAAGTTGATTGTGTCCTGGGCCTCGAATGGGGACGCAATTAGTCGATGCATCGATCTGGCGCCGGCATACAGAACCCTACTCAGTCACCTCCAGACTGGCGTCACTGATGTCTGATTGGTTCATATCCTCTATGACTGTTGCTTGTTCTGTTACTGCTCTAATCTCTGAATATTGTCTCCTGTACGAATTCACAGGCTCAGACGAATCAAAAAATTGTTCCGGCGATCAAAAAGCATTCTTCTCCCCCACCTAGAATGCGAACATTCGCCTTAATTCACATGTGCTTATTTCCCCCGCCTATCTATGTGTTTCAACTAACCTCATAATAATATAGATGTACGAATTCGATGAGAATTTATTAAAAGCAAACACAAGTTGCCAAACGGTCTTCTTCATGTGCGTCTATTTAGTTTTTTTACCGATGGTTTGTGATAAACATTACTACTTGGTCTTGTTGCAATACGTCTTGCTTGACTTTAATAAATACATACTTCTGCCTTCTAGGCAAGGGCGGCGACTGTATGGTTTATGGCTGGGGTTTCTTACTCCGGGGATCATTTACGCTGAGCAAAAAATCTGAAAATATAAGAACTTTGTGCTATCATAAATTGTGATCCTCCATATTGTCACTAATTAAGAAGGGACACTATTTTTGCCATTCAATGATAATAGTAGTTGAATTTAATGCCCCTTGGCAGTCACGTAACAGCCACTGCGAGATCTTATTTCTTTCTCCAGCACGTGCAAATAGATATCGCACAATTGCTCCCCGGATTAAGTAATCCCCGCCATAAATCATGCGCTTGCCGAAAACCCCCTATCTGTGCTTCGTTAATTTGGGCGAAAAATGATGAAAATGAGTCTCATTGCTACCTTTGACATGACGTCTTCATCTACCTCCCGTTCGGGCTCAGCCCAATCCACAGCCACTTGATGGCCCCAGAGGTGAATTCGTCCAGGAATCAGCTTCCTCCGTGCCATTGCCGCAGCCTTATGGCTCTCATACTCGACAAACGCGAATCCCCGATTCTTCGTTTTGTCCACAACACTCGGGTAGACGATGACGTCCTTGACGCCCTCCGTGGCCTTCTTCATTTCACGCAGGATCTCCTCCTTGGTCCTCGTCTTGGGAATGCCGCCGACGAAGAGTCTGCAGTTGTCCACAGAGAAGCAGACCCCCAGCGGCTTCGACTTTCTAATCTCATAGGCATCCAGTTTGCTGACAGCGCGCCGCGTGTCCTCTCGATTGGTGTAGATGCAGAAACCATACCCACGGTTGCAACCGCTGAAGTCCATCATCAGACGGAACATGTAGATCTTGCCGACGCTCTCAAAGACCGGCACCAGTTCATCCTCGAAGCAGTCCCGAGGAATCTTCCCGATGAATATCTCACAACCCCTTGCCGGCGGAGGTCCCACCCAGTCCGGTGGCGGACCGTACCGTCTCTGGCCATTTTCCTGCATAATCGGATAGCGAGTTCTCTCAATAAGCCTCACAAGGGCCTCCTCCCGTGACAGTCCAGTGGCCTTGACTTTGTTGGGTCTCTCTGTGGGAGGAGGGGGAGGGGGAGAAAAAAGGGAGTAGACGCTGGGAGTAGGAAACTCCACCGGCTGAGCCACATCGTCCACGGAGTTGGTCGAGGTTTTTGAAATAAATGGTTCATCATCCAATGTTTTCTTCAATGTTGCCACTAAGGAGGTTTCACAGCCTTCAGCGAGGGTTGTGTCGCTGCATGTTTCTGGTTTGTCGAAGTCCCCCTCCTCCTCCTCTTCCTCTGCGTCTTCAGATTTGTCATAGGTATCCAGGAGACTGGAAGGAAAAAACGACACAGTAAGCGTGGATGAGAAGGAAGGTGCCGTAGAGACGCCTTCTTGTGAGGATATGGAGAAAGATATTTTCGAGACTTTAGGCAACTGTCCGCCATGGAAAATTCAAGCACATCACGGTCCAACATAACGTGAGCGATCATTTTGCGTTATGGTTTGCATCTTGGGCACCGATTGCTACAATTGCAGACCAGGGTGAGTGAACACAAAAAGAGAACCTATTCACTTTCCTGGCTTCTGTCTGACTGTTAAAAAATCTGCCACTGAGACTGACACCAGGAAACACGTGAGATAATGGAAACGTTCGAGTCCAGTCACAAATCGACCGACCGGTGCATCGAGCTTGACCGACCTATCCAGCTATTCGCAGCAAGCCTATAGAAAATAGGCTGAGCCCCTAATTATCGTCCGCTGTCAAGTGTATTGTAGCCACTAGCAGGGACCCTAGACGAGTTTTACTGGCCAAATTGAATATTTACATTGTTTGTTCTATCCCTTTTCCCACACCTTTGATGGGGGATTTAAGTGACCGACCGGAAGCGCAGGACATTATGCTTCCTTCCTGACTGAATAGGCTGATTCGCTAAGCGACCATTCAAACTTCATATGCAACGACGTTCATCCCGAGGTGGGCGTGACAGTGGCTTAAGCATGAATTTAGTTGCGGTGAGGCAAGCCTGTGCTAAATCTACCTCTCTCCCTCTCTTATCTAATCTACCGTGTTGAATACCAAGGCGGAGTCAAAACGACAGGAGGCGGCTATGGACACAGTGACTGACAAAGCCAAACAACTCGTCTCTCCGTTTTAGCAGAGTGGTCAGCTGGTGATCTGAGAGTCAGGCTACAACGGTTCCTTCTTGATGTGGCCTTTAGGATCCTCCTGATCAGTTGGGGTGCGATCCCCCCCCCCCGCCCCTTCGTGCTGCGTGAAATCCTGGCCGTTTATGCGTAGTTCAGGGGTTGTGGAGGTACGCCTAGGCACGGGTTTTTGTCTTACCAGCCCGCTGCGCCCTCTCCTGCCACCCTTCTTCTTGGCTTTGTCATGAAAGTGAGGAGAGTGCGATAGATGTCACGCAAGTCTGCTATCGCTATCAACGAACCTATGCGCAAGTCACCATCTCTGCTCCCATCCTCTTGTGTGGCACATGGCAAAAATCGTCGGAAACGACGGTCAAACTGTAAACTGCCTCGAATTGCTTATAGTGAGCAGAGCGCAGATTTATCATGCGGGTTGGTATAACGTAAATGGCCTCACTTCCTTACTTCCTCTCTCATGAACTAGCGGCCTGTCCTGGTCTGTTGTCAACCTGGTAATGAGATTTGGAGCAGCGTCTAACGTGGCCAAAAAATCCTCCTTCTGCGCGTACACACACGAGCTGGTCAGTCAGTCCTCACGAAAGGCACATCGCTCATACAACTGAAATGTGTACATTGCCCCTCCCTTCCTTACTGAGTGATGTGCGATGCTTTGCTGAGAATCGAAATGTGCGTGCGTGCGACGAAATAAGTTTTTATGACACGGACATGTGTGCGTGTGCGTGGAGGGGGGGGGGAGATAGGTGTGTAACGGGCAGCCATCGTAACTGGTCTGGCGTCATTGTTCAAGGCCTCGCTGCCTCAAGGTCATTCACCCCTTTCAGCGGACCGTCCCAGACGACCTGACCCGAAGTCACACGACCAACAGCTCGGGCATACCTGCCTCTGTGCAGTCGCAGATGCCCATGCGGCCACTTGAACGCGCCACCCCCTGCAACCAGCAAAACAAGCCACAGGGACACCACCCCTCGGCAAATGTCACACACACTGACTGGACACCACTTGAGCTTGGCCCACGAGCCCACAAAAGCGGCTGCCACCACTATCCCAGAGACACTCAGGCATGACTGGACGCAGTCAACACCAGCCCTGGCTTCGCCAGTGGTCACTGTCGCCTGGGAGGACAACTCCGGGTTCTGTGCACAATAAACCCCTCATTCTGGTCCCCTCTGCCGTCTCTCCTTACAACTTGGGATCTGATCCGACGATGGTAATGCTCAGACTGCACGCACTCACTCCGCCTGGCCGCTTGGTCACCACGCCTGATCACTTCAGGTGTTATCAACAACCCTCGGCTGTGCTGCTTTAGTAGATGTTTTCGTGTATGTGCCTATGGCCGAATGGGTTTCTGTAGTGTCTGAATATCCTGAGACGGTGTCAGAATGATGGGTGCGCTTGATGGATGTTGACCAGTGCTCAAGTCACTGGCTCTTTAGTTATGTTTCAATGTATCTGTGGATGTTCTACTAGATTGACGCATAACCGAAATTCGCCGTAGCGATGGCAACAAGTCAACACTTATCCGAATTAATGGCGATTGGGGAAGGCGTTTATGGCTGTCCTTTGTGTCGCGCTCGTATCCCCGACAATGGCCACGAAGATGTCCATTTAGGACAAGCTGGAATTGAAACACGATATAGCAGTCAGGATCGGTGAGAGAGTTGTCTCTAGTGAAGATGTTGATGAAGGTAATGATGATGATGGCAGTGACTTTGGGTACTTGAGATTGACTTTTGTGTTACATTGCAGGGGATTCTGAGGTGCCCAGCGGGGCCAATCCACGTCCTGTGCGTCAGATGCCAATGCAGACATACTGACAGGTGTCGGGCATTTGCAAAGTTGGTCCACACCATTACTGTCCTGCATGACTCCTGCCTCGCCTTGTTCTTCGTTGCTCGGCCGACTTTGGAAACTGCTGTTCCTGTTTTAATTGCAGTGCACCTGCGTGAAGTCAGCCAAGGTCTCTTGGGTGATGAGAAGATTCTTCAGAGATGCCCTCGGAGTGATCTTGTGCGGCCGTTCTTCTTCGCCTTGTCTGCCAGCACCCGTGGTGGCGTCGCCACTGAGCAGCCTCTTTGGCAGCTGCTCGTCATTTAAATTCACTATCTGGTTGCTCCAGCGCAGCTGTACTTGCCTCAATACAGCAATACATACTAAGCACTGTGCTTCTTTCTAGAACATTACTGTCCGGAATACTCTCCTTCTAGTCTTCGTTCAGAATCATTCAAATGCAACTGAGCTGAAGGCCTCCGGTCTTCTTGACTCTGTCCTGATACCAGGCCAAGATAGGGGGGGGGAGGAGGGGAGAGTGTGGTATATGCTGGGCACGTCTACTACCATTATAAACTAAATCACGCACAAGTCGCCATGCCTGCTTCACCTTACTATAGGGCACATGGTAAACATCGTCGGCGACGACGGTCGAACTGTCGTTCAGGCGACTGAGTAGCACGGAAGACATATCTTGCCATCCGTGCTAACAGATTTTGCGGTAGCTCCTACAGATTTTCCGGTTTCCTTAGTGTTTGTATGCCTGGTCTTAACATATGGCTTGATAGCTACTAGTCGTGTTATTCGTAAATCAGATATCCCCCTACTAAAGTTGTCTGCGGTCCGACCCCTTTTGGCAAGCTAAGATCATCGAGCCTGCCTCATTCACCATTTTAAACTCTTCGCAAGACTACATTCGGGATGAAATGCCACTAACTGACAACGATTCTGATCTGTACGGGAACATAATAAAAACACAACCCATCCAGCAGTACCTGCCAGTCCCTTTAGATCTGTGAAAAATTCGGCAAATAAAAGAAAGCTATGCACGATGGTCATAACCAGAAATACGGACGGTCAAGATGACTACTTTGTTAATTTTTTACGCACGCCATCTACCGACTGTCTAAGGTTTTTAGGTGGTGTCACATAAGTGAAGTATCGATGACTGCCACATTTATATCGAAACTTCTAAAACCATGATTATTGTGATCACTGGCCTATCCTTATTCCAACCAACATACCTTTACGGCAAAAGTGTAGCAAAACTCTTTATATGCAACAGAATACTTGAATTAACTGGCTTTTATAATAAATTTCAGTTCTTAGAAAGGACAGTCGTTTTACTGGTATTTTCAAGACACTTTTAAGACATTCATGGTTGAACTTAAAGAGAAGTTTTTGGAACTATCCTTTCCAGATTCGGCTCGAAGTCGAATTTCATCATTGACGGACCAACAGTGTGGTACTTAAAAGCTGCCAACAGACGTCCAGTAGTTCATAATTATGTAAAGAAGAGGAGGCCCTTCGGAAAAATTCGAGTTGAACTGGTGGATTTTCAAACTGATGACATGAATCCTTCGTTTGACAAAATGAATAATGGAGAGGTGTGACGACCACACTAGAGCATTTGGGGTCACAGGGACAATAGAGGGCACTGGTGCGTGAGAGGAGTACGACTACGACTCAGTGTGCTAGAGACGGAGGGGGATAGCTGACCAATGAGACCGTAGGCGACTGAATTAGCATTCCTTGATTTGGCCTGGGTGCGGGGATATCAGTGAGAAGTATTTAAAGAGCCTCGTAATAAGCGCCCAGGTCGATTTGGAAGTTGATACGGTCCGCGTTTGAATACCAAAACCCAGATAAATTCTCTCGCCCGTCTCTTACTGGCCATGGCGACGAGGTCATCATGGTCGCAACTGGATCGATGGTCACATTTGGGTGCGTATGCAAAAACGAAGGACGGAGACCATGCCGACGGATAGCTGGTTTTTGTTCGTTAATACGACAAACTGGAAAATTCACGAGCACAGCTAAGTTTTGTTCCACAGAATGTCTTTTTTATATTTTGACAGTTCTGAATACATACCACCTTTGTTCTGCAAAATAAATGTCTATTGAGATCGACTTAAGACAGTCTCAGCAAAGAGCCTAACTTAAGACCCGGACACATGTTTCGATGCCTTGAAGCAGTAAGGTCATCCAGTTGCGAGGGGTTCGGCTCATCGGCAGGTCCCCCAGCGTTTATCATGCCGTTTCGGATAAACGAGTATTCCTGTTTACCGGTGAAGGACTTTCCATTTCATCCGATATGAAGGTGTGAACTTCAGACGGAGTTTCCCCTCCTCAACTCTGTCTCATTCCAAAAAGTGACGAAATTAGGATCTGCCCTTGGTCCCGTCAGCAGGAATGTACTCTTTCTGGGCAACTGGACAGAGTAACGTAACCGATGGCAAACAGAGAGGTCTAACAGCCTAGGTAATGTCGACGAATGAAGCAGACATGTTTTCTCTAAGTTTACTCCCGAGACCAACCATGAATTTATCGTCTATAGATGAGTAGAGCAAAAAGCATTTGTTGTAAGAACTTAAACAATCAAGTTCGCGTTCTTCCCCGCGTGAAAAACAACAGGTTCAGCTTCAAAGCGACTTTATAAGTTCTGCGGATATAACTAGTGTACTTTAAAGTAAGGTGATACCATTCTAACAGCACAGGTACTAGCCAAAAGCCCATACATGCGTGGTTCGCCGATATTTTGCCGCTGCATGGCGCAGCTGCGAGGGGTTCGGCTCATCAATGGGTCCCCCAGCATTCTCCGTCTGTTTTTCTGGTTGATACTTCAATTTAAAAATTGTCGCTTTTTAATTTCCTCAAAAATTATCTACGAATTCTTGGTCTGTGCCTATAGATCTTGAATAAAATGATCTACTCCAAATTCGTAGATAATTTCTGAGGAAAGTAAAAAGCGACAATTTCTAAATTGAAGTATCTACCAGAAAAACGGACGGAGAATGCTGGGGGACCCATTGACGAGCCGAACCCCTCGCAGCTGCGCCATGCAGCGGCAGAATATCGGCGAACCACGCATGTATGGGCTTTTGTATAGTACCTGTGCTCTTAGTATGGTATCACCTTACCCTAAAGTATACAGCTAGCTACCTGTCGGTAATTAATGACCATGTCGCGGTTATCCGCTATGGTTGATGGGTTTCAGCCCAAATATTCATGCATAAAATTCTCGTCTGTGCCTATAGACCTTGAATAATGTGATTTACTCCAAGTTCGTAGATAATTTCTGAGGAAATTAAAAAGCGGTGATATAACTAGTGTTCAGGTTAATAGTATTTTAATTCTAAAGCATAGCAGAAGGGGTTAGCTCACCAATTCGACCATAATTGATCCAGGTCAAGCATTCTGAACGAGAGGATGCGGGGAAAGCGTGCTCCCGGTCGAACAGGCAAGGGCGCCCGCGCCTCGGCACCTAATCAGCTGTACACGACGCGTGGAATTATGTCACACAGGTGTTTAAACACCATGCGTATCGATTTTTTAGTTTAATTATAGGCTACGTGGCGGAGGAGTCACAAAGGACTTGCCTGCAAAGGCCTAAATAATGCAACATAATTTAGACGCATTTTTATTCTGCCTACAATTAGAATGATCATTACCGATGTAAATAAATCGGCCTGATGATGAGATACCGAAAACATATGTTCGTCAACTGACTCTTCAATCAGAAGTTGGGTAGTTTAAAGTGCAAATTCAGTGAACGGTGTGCTTCGTCCGTGATGATTCGCTTGTTGCTAGTAAACACCAACTTTTGCATTTACGCAGGCTTAGTGCCTACTACGAAGGTTATTAAATCCGTCGGAAGTCTCCTTTTAATGGGCGTCATTCGTTTGATGGAATGTCTTATCTCCGTTTGATTTCACGGACCTCCTGTAGCTAATCGTAGATTGGCACCTCACTAAGCCAGAGGCTAAAACGTCTTGTCCTAGGAACTCGCAAGTCTAAATTTATCTATGTTATTAAAGGATCACGAGACAGCCGATTTCAAAAACGTCCCTATCTTTTACAAAGGCACTTATCCCGCTTAATTTAGCTTTCCAATTAATTAACATGGCTGTCATGAGAAAAATTGTACTACGACCTATTTTAAGCTCTGAGTTCTTTGTTACTTAAAAACGACCCATTTAATACATCTAACCAAACTGAGGTCGTTTTTACGTAACTTGACAGCAGACGGCGATTATTATAACGACTGGGTTATGCACGCTACGATGAGTTAAAAATATCCGTCTCGCTCAAAAGCGGAAAAGGGGACCTAGCGTAAAACTGAGACGTGGACAAATTAAAGAGGACAGATTTGATAAAAAAAGGGGGAAGTGTAGAAGGAAGAAAGGGTAAGAAAAGAAAGAACTGAATAACAGGCAGGAAAGATTCATGGAGAAGTCAAGGAAACAGGAGGAGGCGGAGAAGAAGAAGAGCAAGAGGAAGAAAAAGAACAATGACTAGGAGAGATAACAGGAAGGAATAGATAAGCGAACTGGGCAGTTTCTTGTCCAGGGTACTGCTACAGCCCCCAAACATTGTCATGATTTCGGGGAAAATTATCATTCGCAATGCTGCCTGCTTATATTATACCCATAAGCATCAGTCAACGCTGGCTGAATTTATCACAGCCCGTTGATTTTGAAAAAGTGTCAAACCCTTTGTAAGACCTACCTACTTCAACTCAACTCTGCAAATATATTCTGCACCATAAAGATTTAAATTTTTGCACTAACATGACGTTCAACCATTCGTCAATTTGCCAACATGTGCTCTTTCGAAAACTTTTGGAATCAGAGGAGTTTTACTGGGAGATAGAACTAAGTCACTAAAGCTAAATGAGCCCTAAATCAAGCCGCTTTGTTGGAAATAGGCGGAAACTGTATATTGGTGTAGGTTCTGAATTTGGCGGCATCAGTTCTCATATAGTTAACCATCTAACCTCCGTATTTTACTGACTGTCTGTTAGCAGTATGTGAATTTTGCGCAGTTATGTCATCGGAGCTGGCGGAGTCTAGCCCAAATATACATATGATCTTTCAGATGGAGCCTAATAAATTTGTCCCGAGGACATTATTAAACGTTCTTGCATTCATTTCTGAGTGAATCTGAAGGTTCAACATCGAAAACTGAAACATCTTCTGGAAAGCACGTGGGACGCTCGGGGCACTCACTGGGGGGCCGAACCCCTCACGGCTACGCTATGTTCTAGACGCGTTACCCTGTCTCCTTTATTTAATAATTTTTGACATTACAGGCATTATATTTCTCCCGAATTCACACACCAGCAATCTCATAGGGTGCCCTGAGAAGCCGAAATGCTCGAGGCCACTCATGCTGCGGCAGAAACATCGGCGAAACAAGTGTCATTGCTTTTAGCTGGCACCCATGCCGGGAGTACGGCAAGGTCTTAATTGTTACCATTATGGCAAATCATTTAACATTTGAATATTGGCATTGTCGGTATTCACACAGCAGTGATCGGATACCTATCCGCCTGACTTTAAAGTGAAAAAAAGTTCGGAAATCGCAGACCAGTAAGCACATTCCGATTTCTAAAATGAAAATGCGATAAATAGTTTTGGCAGCAAACACACTGGCGACTTGGAGACTCCTGACAGGCTATCCTCGCAGACCAAAGACCCCTGCCCTTCCTCCGCAACGTTCACCGATGTCTTCAGTTAATCATTGATCGCGACAGGCTAGGCCAAGAATGAGACCATGGCTACCACGACCCTCAGGCCCCGTCCCGAATTGAAAAAGAAGTGGGACGCCGGGGCGGGGTGAGCGGCGCCCCCAGTGCCTGTCAGGGAATGCGTCAAAGCGTCAGGACATGTCTGACTCGACCTTGAATCTGATTGGATAATTGGAGAGCCGGGTGTGCGAATGATAGACAGGCCTAGTGCGCACGTACAGACATGTATGAGAGGCTCAGCGTTGAGACAGGCGCTCGGAGAGCAGGGCCCCTACACATCTACACGCTATCCTCAGTCAAGGCCGCTTTTGGGCGGTTTCACCCTCTGAACGGCGCAGCACTTGGCCGTATCACCTTCACCCGGCGCCTACTGGAGTCACAGGTGATCGGCTGCGTGCCTAACCAACTGGACTACTCCCCATTGAAGGCGCTACTGAAGGGAAAAGCATAATTAGGCACTTCAAAGTGAGTGCACAAACATGGCCTACATCTGTGTTGAGGGATTGACTCGACACGAAACTTCATGCGCGTAGTTGCCTTTGCACCGATTTGAGTCCTGTGGGCCGCACTTTTGCAGAGCAGGTCGCCGGGATCGCATCTCCATGGGCGTAGTTCAGATTACTGGGGCACAAACTACTACTTACTTTGGCTCCGCAGAAAAACTCATTCTAACAAGACAACACAGCCCTGGCGGATGTCGAAGTTAACAGTAAAAAATCAGCGGGAAACAAATTCATTCGAAAGCCAGCATCCTGAGGTAACTGAATTATAATAGAACTATGCCGCATGATGACTAGTTTTACAACCCAACCTAATCAATCTTTTCGAAACAAAGACGCATTTCGGAATTTCGGTTGACATTTCATGAGTTAGCCCATCTACTATATATGGTCGATTTGCTGTGACATTGGAAATTGCAGAATCGCAGCGAGTTCCTCGCTGCAGACATTTCCAGAAACGTGGGATGGATGGGGGTCTCCGGTCTTTTCTTTTGCACACTTTCATGCAAACATGAAGTTAGTTGACTTTTGCTCATGGTAAATTCAGGGTCTACGGACTGCTTAATTGCGTGCAAGAGACAGTCCGTTTGTGAGCAATAAAACTTCTTTGATTGCCAACGAGAGTGGGGGAAGAGGGGGAGAGAAATGCTTTATTTCAAAGCGTAATTTCTAGAATTTTTTAAAAAAACAGTCCATCAATAATCATGGCAAAACTGGAACAAAAACAGTCAAAAAACGGAAATTTAAAAAGGTCCATGCACGTTAAGCAACGGGTCGCATTTCACATCAAACATCGTGTAGTGGATGACTTAACTGATAGCTAATGATCTGAGATACGGTAAGCGGTTTGGTGGGAGCCCTGCCGGATTGAACTGTGCAACTTCGCAGTGCTTAGATTCGGTCAAGGGGAGTGAGCGACATTCACAAGAATTTGGTCGCCGAAGTGCCTGGTCGTTCTCAAATGTCGTCTTGCCAGAACAGAGTAAGAAGCGGCAGTGGCTAACTAAAACACATGGTTAAATTTGCACTTTTACTAAAGCAGGAAACATGACGGTTTGGCAGTCCGCTTCCGTGGTTTCCATGGCGGATTCTCAAGCGACTTGGTACCAGTGTGGCAAGAGCTCCACGCCAATCGACGTTGCATCCTTTGCTGATTGGCTCCGAGTGAGCGAATCCCATGCACATTGCACGCTTCGGCGTCGGGACTAACAACATGAACGTCTGGCAGTAGGCAGGGGAGATCTATTGCTGCCCCGCCTGCTAAGGCAATCCTACTTTTTGATTTTGGAACCTCACGCTGTCTACACATGACGCCTCGACAACGGAAGGGCAGAAAAGGGTAGTAGGGAGCGCGTAAGCACCCATAAACGGCCAAAATAAGGACTGAATGGTAACATCTTCCTAAAAGCGAGAATCAATGCGTTTTAAGTGGGCGTGTATCCTGAAAGGTTGATTGCAAAGAACCTTGTCGAACGACCCACAAAACCCACCACACTGACCGCCGAAAAAAACGTTGTTCCTCAAAGTCCCTTTCCAAGGAGACGCCGCGAGTGAACTCGTAAGAAGACGCCTTGACCAAGCTGTCTCGGCGACCTTCCCAGCAGCAAGGGTTCGCATATCATTCTCTAATACCCCTAGTTTACGCGGAGAAGGCAAGGTTTGGCTGCCAACACAGATCGCCTCAATGTTCATTTATTCATTCACTTGCTCCTATGGAGCAGGTTATATCGGTCGTACGGGTCGACGTCTATCCAAAAGAATGCGAGAGCACCTTCCCGCATGGCTTGCAAAGGTGAAGCTAGGAGAATAGACAACGCCATTCTTGCGCATTCAGTGCATTCGGGGCATCGTATGGATCCCGCTGAGGCATTTCGTGTGATTTACAAGGTCCTCTCGAGTTACCCTCAGCTACCGGGCCAGTGCCTGTTAGTAACAGCAGAAGTGGTCACCATCAGATAACGAAAACCGACCCTACGCGCCCAGAAGAACCTCGTTCAGTTTCAGCACTTACCGTGGTCAAATGTTGACTAACCACTTACGAAGTTCTGCGCCCTTCCGCTCTTGCCTAGCCTGTATTTTAAAAACTAACTTCTATCAATTTTTTCCACTCACTGTACACCGGTCCCATATAACTGTACTGGCCTGACAAGAAGTTATCTAAAGCAATGTTCGCTCGTCACATTGTCTTCTGAAAACCAAAGTTCGGGAAAGGTGAAACTTCATTTGAAAGAACCTCAAAGGACACCAGATTGGGAGATGGTTGCACCCTAAACATGCTAAAACGTGACACTTAGCTGAGAAATTACCTTTGAGGTTTAATTCAAAACCTTGAGGATTTCTCGGGATGGCATAGTCGACAGGACCGAGATTCTCCAATCAGAAGCCAGCCAGTCATAACCAACCCCGGAGTGTGGCCCACCCGAGGCTCGAACTCGCGACATGTTTGTTAGAAGTCCACGTCTCTAACCACTGAGCCACGAACCTGTTGCCCTGTAGGTTTTCGATCGGGAATATACAATGGTAAGGAGCGCTCAACGATCGTTCTTACGGAACTCACTCGTCCCGTTGTACCTTAGGGCTTTCCCTCGTGTCCAACCAGCAGCCGCACAGCGGAGCATGATATAGGCAGAATGATATTACCGACAAAGACAAGGGAGACTGGAATGGCCATTTCTGGCTTATTAGCGGTCGTCAGCCAGTCATAATTCACACCGAAGTGTGGCACACTCGAGGCTCGAACTCGCGACCTGTTTGTTAGAAGTTGAGGATTTCTCGGGATGGCACAGTCGACAGGACAGAGATTCTCCAATCAGAATTCAGCGAAGAAGGATAGGGTTGGACAACCTTTACTGCTGAGGAAGTGCATACACACAGGCTCTGCAATCAGTCGCCACGAGCGGTCCCTCCATACAAGTTGTCTTGTTTTTGTCCGCCGTCGAGATCCTCAGACCCAGCGCATGTGCGCGCCTTTCGCTCTGTCTCGATGTCCGCCAGCCAATCAGAGAGGGGGCGGCGTTGATTGGCCTCGAGCACTCGCGAGGCTAGTGGCAAGCTTCGCGCGTCACAGCAGCGGATCGACAGGGAGTGTGAGGTGGGCAGGAGGGCGGCAAGACAAGGCGGCGTAGAACTAGGAGGCGCGGAGTACCACAGACTTCCATCACGTTTAACCGTGTGACCCTGCCGTCAGCTGGGCCACCGTAGGTCATCGTAAAACGAAAAGAGGTGAGAGGAGGAAAGCGATAACGCGGAGCATTTCAAGGTAAATGCAAATAAAATTGGCTTGCAGTTGTCAGACTGAAAAGGTAGTCTGAAAGTCAGGATAAAATCCAACGGGTAGAGCTGCACTCGAATACCTTTAAGGGGCATGTTGCACGAAGCAGTACTAAAGTTACAAGAGTAATCAAGAAATGCACCTGCATACAAACTATAACCTTTGCTCGAGGCTGTAAGCACAGTCATCTCGTCCTCTCCCACTTCCAGTTGTTTTGACTCGGGCACAGGCGGGGGAGGAGGGGGTGGGGTAGATGCTGTGTACGTCCGCTGTCAGTATAAACTGCTCCGCGCGCAATCCCCCGTCCGCGCTCTCACCTTGCTGGCGAGCACACGGTGGACATCGTCAAAATCGATGGCCGAACTGCCATTCAGAGGATGAGCAGCCAGTACAAAAGAATTGTGGGCAGTGTTTCCGGCTTCGTATGCAAATTTATCCGTTGATATTAATGACTTATTAGACTTTTTATGAATATGGACGACTCGAACAGTTCGCCCAACCTCAGGCATTTTAGTTTTACCAGAAGACAAGTTAATGAGTTAAAACGGGTGAGAGCTAGAAGCGAGGACGGTTAGAGTGAAATACGACCACCCTCCACCTGAAAACGATCCAAGACTAAACTGTTTTCCGTGAACACAACAATTTCCAAGACCATTCCAACGTCATTTTTGAATGCAGTTCACAGTGCTTACGAGAAAGATATCAGTAGAGCAAACCTTCAGTAATTTCACTCTATGTTAACATACACATTTCTGAACTAAACCATTCCTACTAAACCATGAACTGTTTAAGTATTGAGTCATACTTCGTACTTATACATTACAAAGATTATATTTTGCACAACATACTTCGAAGTACAGTAAGAAGGCTAACTCATGAAATATCAACAGAAATTGCGAAATGCGTCCTCGTTTCGAAAAGATTAATTATGTAAGATTGTAAAATTAATCATTGTGCAGCATAATTCTATCATAATTTATTTACCCCAGGATGCCGGCTTTCGAATGAATTTCTTTTCGGCTGCATGCAAAAACTATACTCTGCAAAAGGTTATTACGAAAGTGGCATGCATTTTTTTCATTGATTTCCGATGCCCTTAAAGGTGCAATTATATTTCATGGAAAACATGCACAAAAGTATTCATTCTCTTGCTCATTCGGTAGAAAATTACGTCTTATTCTCATTTTACACTCGAAAAAAGAGTATAATTCGGTTTTATGAAAGTTTCGAATTATGAGATTTTTTAATATCGTGAAATGACCGTTCATAAAACTTCATGCCTCTGCATCGACCAATGTGGCTTGTAAAGTTAACAATGTGGCTCAACTCCATTGCTTACTTTTATTAACACTATATGGACCCCCTTTATTACCGTAGAGAAATGCATAGTTTTCCGTGCGCGGAAATTATACGGCTTGTAGGTTGGGGACTCTGAATGCAAGTGTAACGGCAGGTTGGGTTCAAAATTATTCGGGATTCGGAAGTTTTATAAAACCAAATTATACCCTTTCTTCGAGTATAAGATTAAAATAAGACTCAATTTCCTACTGAATGTGGAAAAGATGGATAGTTTTGTGCAGTTTTCATGAAATATAATTTAATCTTTAAGGGCGTCGGAAACCAATGAAAAAGTGCTCGCTATTTAAGTAGTCATTTTTTACGGAGTATGGCTTTTGGATGCAGCCAAAAGGAAGTTTGTTCGAAAGCCGGCGTCCTGTGGTAATTGAATTATTATAGAATTATGCTGCACGATGATCGGTTTCGAAATCCTAGTTAATTAATCTTCTAGAAACCAAAACACATTTAGGAATTTCAGTTCAGATTTCAGGAGTTAGCCCGCTTACTGTAAGTGCCATTTACATTGCGGCACAAAGCCGCCACGTATTCTGTGGCTTAATGTCATACACTGTCACCAATCAAACACGTTTGGCGAGGGTATTTTCACATATATAATTTTCGAGGTAGATAGCCAAACGCAAGCTAAGACTACTGTAACCACTGAATTCGTGGTTTATTGGTTAGGACTTTCGATTTCTGACCAACGAATCACGAGTTCGGGCTTCCGGGGGCTGCATACCTCCGCGTTGAGCATGGCTGACTGACGACGGCCAACAAACCAGAAATGGACTTTCCAGTCGCCCCGTCTTTGTTGATCATGCCATTCTGCTTATAGTACTCACCGATGTGCCTGCAAGGCAGCTTCAAGGCATAACGGGCGGTTTCGGCAACGCATACCACTAATAAAGGATCATTTCAAGCTACTTCCCAAAATTAAGTAGCAAGGCAAGCAATATATACACTTACAAAAGCAGGGGTAGTAGTAATTTGGTCCAACAGGATTTTGGAGGCATGGCCATGATTTACCCAAACAAACTCACTTGAAATTGGACGGCTGTGAACATTAGTGAGACATACGCTTCGTGTGAGTTCCCATCGATCATCGCATTCTGTACTTGGAGTAAGGACTCCTTCCTAAGGGCCACTGTGCATTCTGCAAAAACTGTGGAACCCCGTCGTGACCTTTACAGCTCTGCGCATGAAAAAAGGCCGAGGAAATATCGCACCACGATCAAAGAGTTGATTGTAAGCCAGATCCCCAAGGATAGCTAAGCCTTCCTGAACTATTTTCAACATGAACTCGACTTTGCTGCTGTTCGGAACGGAATTACGGAGTTCAGATAAATTGCCCTCAACGTATTCTCAATGGCAAGTGGATGGAGAGGATTCCTAACACTAATGTCTTGGAAGGGAGGCCTGCATTTAACATCCAGACCGCGCAAAATCTTTTACAACTGCGACAGAACGAAGTTGTCATAGCTAGGACCCACCCAATCGAAAATTACATGGTAACTTCGCTAGGGACAACGTGGGCAAGAGCAATAATACCCGATGACCCCGGCGGCCTCTCTCTCGAGCACCCTAAACACAACCAACAGACTTGGAGCAATTGTGCAAACACTAGAGTAAAAATTGTCGATACCGACCCAATACTCAAGCAGGAGACATACATGGCATGAGTGCCGTGGACCAACTTTCGAACCTCCAACATATTTAAACATGTCTACTGTGTCTGGTGGCATACCAGACATCTATTGATCTCGCTGGCAAATTTAGAGCAGCCCACTTCCCTCACCAATGTGGAAACAACCGCCTATATCATCATTGTCTCTGTCCCCGTCGTCGTCGTCGTCGTCGTCGTCGTCGTCGTCATCATCATCATCATCATCATCATCATCATCATCATCATCATCATCATCATCATCATCATCATCATCATAATCAGAAGAGGAAGAAGAAGAAGCAGCAGCAACAGCACCAGCACCAGCAGCAGCGGCATCATCATCATCATCACCACCACCACCACCACCACCATCATCATCATCATCACCACCACCACCATCATCATTATCACCGCCGCCACAACCACCACCACCACCACCGCAGCCAGAAACACCGCCACCGATATCACAACCACGGCCACCACCACTACCAGCATCACAGTGCCAACGTGTTCTGGTTGCCACCGTGTATGGGATCAGTGGCCCGTGAATTCCCGGAGCGCAACTGGAGAACGTATGCATGAGCCGCAAAAAAGCAACTGTCACGCACGCCTTGCAAACCCACGTGGTTCAAGGACGTTTGCAAACTAGATGTTGAGAAAAAGGGAACTACTTAGTTTTCCCTTGCATCATTGTTCTCTGTATTCTCACACAGCCACATACCTGTACACTTCAGCCATCGGCAAAACATCACAAATTACTCGTGTAATAGTCCTGGGACGCAATTTACCGAGGTCACAAAGACAAAAAAATTGCCACATGCGAGATTGCGTAATCCCCACTCATACGAGAGCTGCGATTCCTCATAAAACTGGTCACATAGCTTGTAAGGCTAGCCTGTAAAAGGCAAGGGCAGACAGGGAATTGCAAGCAAGGGTTTTGCGTCACGCCAGTTGCTTCGGCCAAACTCATCACCAGGTAACTTACAAGCTGAAGCAGACCTTTCGTTTACGCGAGAAGGGAGAGGGAATGAGGTCGACTTCGAGAAATCGACCTCTGTAGCCAATTTCCGAACTCTTCACTATAACGAAGTTTACACTCTCAAACCCGCCACGGCGGACCGAGGATTTCGAGCCGACCTAACGAACCTTTGAACTTGCGGAATTTGGTCCGGATTGAGTGGGGCACGCGTAGACGGGCTGTCTAGCATTGTCGGCTACTGATACTATTACGCCATTCTCTTCCAATCTTCTTCCATCGCTTACAATTTGCATACATGGACGAGCGTAGTACCCTAGATGCTGTTGCTTTTGTGGTCCAGTCTGTTCTAAGAGATATAGATAAAGTCTGCCGTGCGTACGCATGCGCATTTCTTGACCACTCTTCCGTCCTCAATACTGTCCCACGCGTCTCCTCATTAGAACACCGGCGTGCAGCTTCCCTGGCTGGGCTGTATCTTGGCTTAGTGATTTTTTATCTCCTGAATTCAGTTTGGGCATTCCGGTAAGCGAAAATCGACTGTCGTTCTCAATAACTGTGGAGTTCTACAGGGTTCCATTTTATCACCTCACCCCTGCTATCTCCACTCTAATGACTTGAGATCGTCAAATGACTGTTTTTATGTTAAGTATACGGAAGATATGATTGTTGGTCATCCTCTTAAGGACTAGACACATCTCCAGTTCCCGAGTTATGGCCTGGAGCATGCCTCGCATGGTCATTTGAGAACAGTCTCCTGTTGAATAATTAGAAATCAGTGCAGTGTGTTTTCCGACTGCGGCTCTTTCTCCCAGCCCTGAATCCCTGGTCATTCTCCCCAACGAGGTGTCCTGTTTTCGGTATATTGGTGTTAGCTTGACACCAAATCTCCCATCCACCCTTTATATTTAAGCCATTTTCATTCAAAGTCGTAGTCTATTTTATTACATTGATCGTTTACGTTCCTATCACACTCCTTACTTTTTATTATTCTCCCGTCATTTTTCCCGCCTTTCTTAAGAGAGATATGGTAATTTTAACAGGAGTCCTCTGGATGTTTTATTCTGCTGCTGGTGTTTCTTACGTCGTTTCAGTTGGTACGGTGATACAGCAACGTCTCAAAACACTCAAGCAATTCGCTGATCAAATTCTGGATGATGTCTATCCTCTTTACTCTTATCAAATTGCTGCGAAATCTTTCCGCCCCGTGCTCAGAGACATCCGACATACCTCTTGCCTTTCATCGTCATATCATCGTCTCGTATCGTCATTTCTGGCACGGTGCCTAAGGTGTAAAGATACAGAAATGCAAAAACTGAGATCTGAACTGTCCCCGTAATAGTTGTTTATTTTTATGTAAACTTTTTGACTCTTGCGTAATTTTTATTTATCCTCTGGTCACAACGAATGGAGCCCTGTTTGCCGAAAAGTTTGAATGATACTTTAAAAATAAGGCATTTTTGCATCCCGCTCTCTCTCTCTCTCTCTCTCTGTCATTAGTCGGCTCTTAACCAGCGTCACCTGAGTATTACACCGAATCCAAGATAGGTGTCATGTGGACACGTCTCACTTCTCTAGATGGATGTGATTTTACAATACCCTCCGAATATACCGTATCACAAAGGTGAGGGGTAGTTGATGAAAAACTTCCGATTGGCTTCCCTTCCACTCACGACTAGGCGATTAAATCAATTAACTTCTCACGCCTTTACCGAGACGACCAGGGTCCCATCTAAAATCCTCATCTGGCTTGCTTATTTGACATACTGCCCATTCTGACATGAACAAAAGAAACCAGGCCGTTCAGAAAAGCGACCCAATAGATTTCATAACTTCAGGGTTTCCCATCGTCCTACAGAGGAGTTCGCAAACCCCTTCTGAAGGGAACTCATGGGTCGAAAACCCGAACGCGACATAGTGGGCGGCTATTCCTACTATCCAACGTCTTCAAAGTTGCTTAGTGATCACAATCGGTCGAGGCCCCTGGGCTAAGTCACCGTCTATTCTGTCGGTTAACGTAACAATGAAAATTAAGAAGTGGACGGGAATTTACTGATGATGATTTTGCTGCTACTGCTGCTGCTGCTGCTGCTGCTGCTGCTGACGATGATGATGATGATGATGATGATGATGATGATGATGATGATGATGATGATGATGATGATGATGATGATGATGATGATGATGATGACGATGATGATGACGATGAAGAAGAAGAAGAAGAAGGAGAAGAAGAAGAAGAAGAAGAAGAAGAAGGAGAAGAAGAAGAAGAAGAAGAAGAAGAAGAAGAAGAAGAAGAGGAGGAGGAGGAGGAGGAGGAGGAGGAGGAGGAGGAGGAAGAAGAAGAATGTTCATCCAGTCTCATCGGCGACATCAGCAGCAGCATCGTGAGAAGTTCTTCGTTTCCAATTGTCATCGTTTGCCTGAATTTCAGAATTTCCGAAGTGATAAATTATTTGGCGTTGCCTTTTTGGCTGTAAAAGCGAGCACCCAACCAGTTGAGAAAAGTTGCAGTCGGCACTTATTTAGAAAACACTTAAAAGTGGATTGAACCAGCGAAAGGAGGGTCAGCCGACCCCTGTTTAACGATCAACCGGTCGGAATTTTACGGATAAACGAAGTCTTATCAGGATTCCCCTACTCCAATCCTAGACGTGTTTTCCCCGCCAACCTATCTCCACCTCCATAAGAGCAAACAACTCGACTTCCGGTGAGATAATGAAGCAACGGTCGTACTTTCGTCGTGTTATCGGTAAAGTTTAACTCATCCTCCCGCCTTTAACTTCAGACTTGACCGCGTGTCCTGGGTGTTTTGGCAGGACCCTCCCAGAAGGTGGAGTTACAGCACACCAGGTCCGATGTCGTCTGTCAGCGGGGGGGCCTAGGTGA